TGTTTTTTGTGGTGGTGGTGCGGGGGGGGGGGGGGGGGGGGGGGGGGGGGGGGGGGGGGGGGGGGGGATTTCGATGAACCCTTACTCATCCATTAGCAAACAAGAAGTAGAAGGAATGGGGACGTAAATAACATGTCATGGATTTGATATAAGTCAATTTTGTCTTCATCAAAATTCTTAAGGAGTTTTTAGAAAAATCATAGTTGTGCTGCATAAACGTGATTCACCATCCTTTGGCAATGAAATTCTAATTCATGTTTTATTTACAGAGCAAAGCAAAAGCCGAAAAAAATCAAGCAATGAAGAATTCAATGAGCGAAAATTCATGTCAGTTGTGTGCAGTTGAGAAGCTTACCTTTGAACCACCACCCATATATTGCACACCTTGTGGTGCTCGCATTAAAAGAAATGCAATGTATTATACCAATGGAGCTGGTGATACTCGTCATTGCTTCTGCATTCCATGTTATAATGAGGCTCGTGGGGACACCATTGCAGTAGATGGAGCTTCTGTTCAAAAGACGAAGATGGAGAAGAAGAAAAATGACGAGGAAACTGAGGAATGGGTATGTCAAATGCAGGTAGTACTATTCTTTTGCTCATAAATGATCATTTGAGATATTAGCCATCTGTTTGTGCAGTGGGTTCAATGTGATAACTGTGAAGCATGGCAACATCAAATATGTGCGTTATTTAATGGCCGAAGGAATGATGGTGGACAAGCTGATTACACCTGTCCAAATTGTTATGTGGCAGAAGTCGAAAGAGGAGAACGTGTGCCATTACCGCAAAATTCTGTTCTTGGAGCAAAAGATTTGCCAAGAACAATTTTGAGTGATCACATTGAGCAACGATTATTTAGACGGCTGAAGCAAGAGAGACAGGACAGAGCGAGACTTCTTGGAAAAAGCTTTGATGAGGTGAGTCAGTTGACTTGCCATGTTATATGGAACAGTAGCCGATGTTTTATTTTGTAATGATATGATGTGATGGTTTACTTAATGAGACAGCATTTTCAGATCTAACAAGTAACAATATGAAGTTGTAATTTTGGCAACCTTGATTATAGAAGAGAATGTGCTTTTATACTAGACAGTACTTCTATTGCATTAATTTTAAATTATTTAAGTAAATATTGTTGTGTTGAATTTGCCAGGTTCCAGGAGCAGAAGCACTTGTTGTACGAGTTGTGTCATCAGTGGACAAAAAGTTGGAAGTCAAACCACGGTTTCTTGAAATATTTCATGAGGAGAATTATCCAACAGAGTTCCCATATAAATCTAAGGTGTTACATTGTATTTCGTGATTAATAAATGCCATCTCAATTCCCATTTCCCACCCGTCCCATATTTTTTGCGTCGGAAAGCCTCAAAAGTCTATTGTTTTGTTCAATCCACGGTTTTATTGGATCTGAGCTAAAATGATAAATAAAATAAATGCGCCATTTTGTGGTTGTCCTTTAGGAATCATTCAAATTGAAATACTTCCTTGCATTAATTCGACGTGAAAAGTAATATTTCGTAAGATTATGATTATTGCTTTGATTCTGTCAATTACTTGAGTTATTATGAACCAAAAGTTTCATCTTCCAGGTTGTACTATTATTTCAAAAAACTGAAGGTGTTGAAGTATGCTTATTTGGCATGTACGTTCAAGAATTTGGATCAGAATGTCAGCAGCCAAATCATCGCCGAGTATATCTCTCATATCTTGATTCTGTTAAGTATTTCCGGCCAGAGGTCAAGACAGTGACTGGAGAGGCTCTTCGGACATTTGTGTACCATGAAATTTTGGCAAGTTTTTGACTTTGTCGGCTCTTACACACCATTCTTTTAGCATGTTCTTTTGGCTAAAAAAATTATTATTATCAGTATTTCATCATGTCAATATCCTAATGATACTTCTATTTTCTTTCCAGATTGGATACTTAGAGTATTGCAAATTGCGTGGTTTCACGAGCTGCTACATATGGGCCTGCCCTCCATTGAAGGGTGAAGACTACATTTTATATTGCCACCCAGAAATTCAAAAAACACCAAAATCTGATAAGCTTAGAGAGTGGTAAGATATATACCTGTCTGAAATGAGATTGTATATAAATATATAGCATGTGCTACTCTCATTTGTTTTTGGTTGACTTGGATTGTATTTTCTGATTCAGGTACTTGTCCATGTTAAGAAAAGCTTCAAAGGAAAATATTGTAGTTGATCTTGCTAATCTATACGACCATTTCTTTACCTCTACTGGTGAATGTAAAGCAAAGGTGACTGCAGCTCGGTTGCCTTACTTTGATGGAGATTATTGGCCTGGTGCCGCGGAGGACATGATATATCAACTACAGCAAGAAGAGGATGGGAGAAAACAGTATAAGAAGGGAACTATAAAAAAGACCATTACGAAGAGAGCCTTAAAGGCATCAGGCCAAATTGATCTTTCGGGCAATGCATCAAAGGACCTGCTTTTAATGCATAAAGTAATCTTATTATCAAAATTCTCTCTCGCTCTCTAACTTTCTTCCCTATAGCTGAATTGCTCTATTAATAAGTTTATTTTGAACACATGAATTACATAGAGTTATTATGCTGAAACAGGACATGGTATGTTCTTGAACATGTTTATTTTCTAATTACTACCAGCAGTTAGTTTCTCTTTCTTTTTCTAATGCTGTTTCTTTGTTCTCTTTGCTAATTTGAGTAACCATTTTCTTCCTCCATCAGCAATTCCCTTCTACCACCTTTTGGAAGTAGAAGCCATTGCCTTCATTTTCTCATTTGGTTCGTACGAACTTCTTTGCTTTTGTAGCTTGGTGAGACGATTTCTCCAATGAAAGAGGATTTCATCATGGTTCACCTGCAGCATTCATGTAACCATTGCTGCATTTTAATGGTGTCTGGAAATCGTTGGGTTTGCAGACAGTGTAAAAATTTTCAGCTTTGTGACAGGTAAGGATTTTCCTGATTTTTGATGTAATCTAATAAAAATAATTTCGTTCTTTTCATTTTTTCAAAAAAATTATATGCCCTGTACATTTTGTTTTGGAGCTGTCAGTCTCCCTTTCATATGCTTGAGATACACATTTATGGAATAAATATAATTCATGTTCTTGCGCCCGCCCGCATGCCCTTTTCTGTGTTCAGATAGTGGGGCCTATTATGCGGGTGGAGGTGGATGATTCCGTCTCTTCAACCTACTGGATCTATTAACCCTCTTTCTCTTCTATTTCACTGACATGAAAATTTGATTGAAAATTGAAATAGTTGCTTAAATAGTTATTATTTCAAGTGTCCTTGAGATATTATCTTTGTCAGTCATTGATCCTACACCACTTTAAATGCTACGAAAAAGTGGAATATGAAGGGAGAGAGCTCGATAGGTTAGAATTGTAATTGTGAAGATGGGAAAGAAAGTTCTGGTTGCACTGTAATGAAGTTTAGCTGCGAAATGAATCTGTCACTGTTCATATCCTACTTCCAAAATACAAATCCTTGTAGTACTGTTATGTTTTTCTAAAACAGAGTTTGACAAATCCCCAAGATCCATCTTAAGCCTTCCATTAAATAATTTGTCACATAGTTCCTGCATGTTTCTATGATCTCATTTCCATGAATTAAAGTCTTTGAATTGAGGTGATTTGACATTACTTACAGGAGAAGTGACCATGATTATGAGGATGTAAGTGGCTGAGTAGCAAGTGATCATTTAGTGGCAGACAACTACTAATGGATATAGAATTAGATTGCTGCCTCACATCTGTCTCTAGCCTAGTGCTCCAGAATTCTCTTCTGCCTTGTTATTTATTCATTTTCATATCAAGCTAACTTTGTAGTTTAAATTTTGTATGGATAGGATAGTGTAAATTTATGAATTACAAGCAATAATTAATGAAATGATCTGACGAAAACCGATGGTGCTCAAGTTCACCAACTAAATAACTGGATTTCTTGATTCTTTGGTCCAACAAATGTATAACTTTTTTTCTCATGATTTTTTCCCCTTGCAGGTGCTATGAATCTGAACAAAAATGCGAGGACAGAGTGAGACATCCTATCAACCAAAAGGAGAAGCACATATTTTATTCAGTCAGTAGTTTTTTTTTTATCTCAGCACTGTCGCTCCTGTGTTCTTCAGGGACTTAGATTTAGTATTTGAATTTTTAATTTGGTAAAACTGCAGGTTGAAATCACTGATGTCCCCGTTGATACCAAAGATAGAGATGAGATACTGGAGAGTGAATTCTTTGATACAAGGCAGGCATTTCTTAGCCTTTGCCAGGGAAATCATTATCAATACGATACCCTGCGCCGTGCTAAGCATTCCTCAATGATGATCCTCTACCATCTTCACAATCCTACTGCCCCGGCTTTTGTAACAACGTGCTATGTATGTCATCTGGATATTGAAGCTGGTCAAGGTTGGCACTGTGAGATGTGCCCGGATTATGATATATGCAATTCTTGTTATCAAAAAGATGGTGGAGTTGATCACCCTCATAAATTGACCAATAATCAGTGTAAAGAACGTGATGAACAAAACACAGAAGCAAGGCAAATACGAGTTATGCAGGTATTTTAAGTTCTTTTGTGTGTTTTCTGGCTTTTCACATCGTGCTCCTGGTTTTACATTGTTATGGTCTATCTTCTTGCACTTGGAATAATTGCATTTTTGCTAAGCATGATTTAATGTAATATGGAATGGAAGCAATGACTTGTTGAAACACAAACTGAAGAGAAATCACATTCTTTGGACCTGCAGCTTAGGAAAATGCTTGACCTCCTGGTACATGCTTCTCAATGCCGTTCTCCACTTTGCCAATATCCAAACTGTCGCAAGGTGAAGGGACTTTTCCGCCATGGTTTTGTGTGCAAAGTACGTGCTTCTGGAGGTTGTCCTCTCTGTAAGAAAATGTGGTCTCTCCTTCAGCTTCATTCTCGAGCATGCAAAGAATCTCAGTGCAATGTACCACGTTGCAGGTTTTCATCACTCTTTCACTTCCACTCCATATAACATTAATTTCTACTGTAGAAATTATATTTATACATCTCGCAACTTTGATGTAGAGATTTGCGGGAACACACAAGAAGGATGCAGCAGCAGTCTGATTCGCGTCGAAGGGCTGCTGTAATGGAAATGATGAGGCAGCGTGCTGCAGAGGTTGCTGCCGATTCTTGATGACCCATTTATGTATATAGTAGGGCCTAGGATTTGAAGATACTGTTTCATAGTGAGGCAGGTAAGTTATAGTCGTGAACTGCCTAGTTAATGGACCTCATTTTGACGGTGTAAAGTTCCATAGAAAGTATGCAAGAGTTTCATTTATTATCACTAGGCACAAAATTTTTTCATTCATACATTATGGGTGGAACTTGATAGTGAAGTCTATAGATCAGAAACTTGGTTCTCTATTTGGAGGGTGAGCCTTCATGGCTAGAAAATGATTCTTCGATTTTATGGCCTTATCACAACTATCTAGATCTTTCTAGATTTTTCATTTGTAAATATAACATCTCAAACTTGTATTTTTCTCTCTCTTTTTTTATTTTTATTTTCTTTTTTGCAAGTTATTTTTGTGTTTTCTTCTCCGTTTTCACGTAAGAGGATTTTCTCCTCCAAAATTCCTATACAGGTTTCTACCTTACATTTCTAGATAAACAAGTAATTAGTTTTACTAACCTGTCATCTTCTCGGTGCTGGCTGGCCATTCTGGCCATTCTTCTTGTCGATTTTGTATTTTTTGTTACCCCTAAGAGCATAGAATTTATTCAGGAATAATGAGTTACTGAATAGTATTTTTTTTGGAAAATGTGTGGTCAAAAAGTAAATAAACTTTATTGGTTTGTGTGTAAAATATTTTTCTTTGTGTAAATGTGATGTAGAATGATCCTGTAGCAAACAATTTAATTTTTTAAAAGATGACAAACATGGGCTTAGTGTTGGTTGCAATATATTAGTTGTATCAAATTTTGACAGTGTCTTTGAAATTGAAAGCTATACAATGATCGTATCTTGGAGATATAGAATAAAAATTCCTTTATTAGCTTCAAGCTTTTGAGGGGATCATTCAAGACTTTTCTCAACAAAAAATAAAAGCTTTGGTTTTGGCTCATCGGGATAGGGATAAGCAAAAGAGAAATTTTCGTCATTTATGGATCCCTCGAATAAATGTAGTAATTCGCGAAAAGGAGGAATCCTATAGTTATAATAAATTAATACATGATGTATACAAGAAATAGAATACTGTTAGATAAAGAAGATCGTCGGGTTGGGACTAATTTGGGATGGTAGGGATTGGGGCTATTTTTATTTAAGATGGCCAATCCATAGAATACCTAAAAGGAGAACTCAAATGAGGCCAGGCAACATTGCTTAACATGAGAGCACAAGCATTATGCAGTGGCTTTTGCTCTCGTCTTGGGAGCCTGACCTTATCCAGAAAGAACCATGAGTATCAAGCCCCGAAATTCCCAAAATGACACTAAAATTTATAGATCTAAATGAACGAGGCTCATTGCACGCTGTTAGCTCATTGAAGTTGTGGGACTTGATAAGTCGAAAAGAGAATGGTGACTTGGCTCATTGAAGAAATTGAAATGGTGCAAGAGACTTTAGTTTTTATTCAGATGAAACGTTTTGAGAGAATATTTAGTTGATCCTCAACATGTTAGCTCTATTTGTTGCCGTCTAGGCATGTGAAGCTAAATAGATTGCTCCGTCAATCATTTCTTAGAGGTCTCAATGATAGTCAATATGTGTTCTCACCACCCATCGAAAATCAAATTAAAGAATTCCATATCATATTGATTAAAATTTTAATCTTTTTGCCAAGTTTGATGAAAGTCATTTGACTCTATTTTGAACTAAAGAAGTGAATACACATGGGAGATGTGTCGACGAATGATTGGACAGTTTGAAAAATTAAAACAAAAAACACCAAATCATTCTCCGACAAATCAATCTATCTGTTTTTCAATCTGACTAAATGACTTTATTCATAAATAAAACCAACCTGAAACAAAAGCTATTCTCTCAAATACAAATACCAACACCATATTCTTTCTCCTTCCAAACAACTTGACGGCACACTTGAGATATTATAGGTCCAGTAGTCACTCTAACAAGGAAGTTATATTATGCTAAATACAAAAAAGGCAAACCATAATCAAAGTTGGTTTTGTTGATCTTCAGGATCTCTTTTTCCATTGAAACTTTGTCCACAAAAAGGCCTTGTAAATATTGTGAAGAGACAAGAACAACTTCTATCTTGCAATATCTGGCCAGTCAAGGAACTTGTAACCGATAAGTGAAGGCGGCAAATAAGTCTGTGATGATGAGTCGGGATTGTCCGGAGGATAAATATATCCCTTTCCATACCCAAGATCCTTCATTAGTTTAGTTGGTGCATTCCTCAAGTGAAGAGGCACTCCCTCATTCTGTCCAATTGATTCTTTCACTACTTTCTGTGCAAACTCAAGTGCTCTATAAACAGAAACTGACTTGGGAGACAAAGCCAAGTATGCAACACATTGCGCAAGGATCACATTGCACTCGGGCATCCCGATAAAATGACAAGCTTGATAACAAGCCACGGCTTGTGTTAGAGCTTGAGGATCAGCCAATCCAACATCCTCACTAGCAAACCTAACGAGACGACGTGCAATATAAAGGGGCTCTTCACCTCCTTCCAACATCCTTGCAAGCCAATAAATTGCAGCATTAGCATCACTTCCCCTCATAGACTTGTGAAGTGCACTAATGAGATTATAATGTTCCTCCCCTGCTCTATCGTAAAGCAAATGCTTGCATTGCAACGCTTCTTTGACGTCATCTAATGTGATCGCGACAAGTGAATCACCATCTCCATTTGATGCTCTTGGCATAGTTAATCGAGCAGCTGCGGTGGTGGCTGAAATTTCCAGGGCATTTAGTGCCCCTCTCGCATCTCCATCGCAATGCAATGACAAAAACTCAATGGCATTATCATTTACTTGAATTTTCATCACTTTGAATAGGCTCCTAACTACTCCTCTATCCATATCAGAAATCGCTCTCTTCAAAAGTATAACAATATGATCAGGCTTCAATGGATTGAGGGTTAAAACTCTGCAACGTGACAATAAGGGTGTAACCAAATGGAATGATGGGTTCTCAGTGGTGGCACCAATGAAAACAATGCTTCCATCTTCAATCACAGGGAGAAATGAATCCTGTTGGGCCTTGTTAAATCTATGAACCTCATCGATAAAAAGAAGAGTCCCTTTATTACATTTTTGCTTCAATTTTCTTGCATCATCTACTGCAGCTCTCACTTCCTTGACGCCACAAGTGGTGGCAGATAAAGAAACAAATTGATAGAAAGATCCCGTTGTGCAGGAATTCACTATGGCCTTGGCAATAGAGGTCTTGCCCGTGCCGGGTGGGCCCCATAGGACGATGGAAGGTAAACGACCGCAATCGATGGCTGAACGGAGAAGGGAGTCTTTAGCCAGGAGATGATCCTGCCCAACAACTTCATCAAGGACCCGAGGCCGCATTCTTTCCGACAACGGAGCATTTGGTGGTGGCGCTGCCACTTCCGGTGAAGATTTGGAAATTTTCTCTTCAGATTTTTGGCGCTTTTTCCTCGGAATTAAGGAATGTGACCGTTCATCCTCTTCTTCTTTTTCGTCTTGTTGGTGGGTATTGTTGAAATCTTTGATGGAGGAGGGGGGTTTGGATTGAAAATGGAAGAAACGTTTTATTTTTGGTTGGGCATGGGCGATATGAGGGGGGTTTGAGTGTGGAGTAGAAATGGGATTATTGTGAGTAAGAAGCCAATCGGTGGCTTTGATGAGATCGCCGCCGGTGGCAGCCAAAGCTTGAGCGGCCATTTCTTCAGAGAAGCCCATACCTTGAAGTTGCTCCATCGAAACATAAGCATAAACGGCCTCAAAATTTTCTTTAAAATTGACGATTATGCTCCTTTCCAACGAATTACCAACTTAATTTCTTTTAAAGTAAAAATAAAACAATTTTTTATTACAAAATGAAATGTATTAAACCAATTATTCATTCACACTTATTATTATTATTATTATTATTATTATTGTGAGGGGGTTCTCCTTCTGGTGCTTCTTTCGTGGCGTTTTCACTCTTCCTATGAGCCTGTGTGAGAGAAAGGTGGCGATGTCGATGGTTTCGACGCACGCGCTTTGAAAATTTGTTGTTGGCAGCGATAGCATTGGATAGTGATGGCACATCGGTTTGTAATATGTAGAATGTGTTTTTGGTGGTTCTGTAACATAGTATTTTACGGGTGTGTGACAACAATGACATCAATAATAATGTAACAATAAATGTTACAAGCGATAACGATGATGACAGTGATGTGACAACGAATCGGTCGTGTTATGTGTACAATCGGGGTTGACAATTAAAGACATGGGAAGGGGACCAACGTTGAATAAAAAAATCATGAGTCCCCCCATCCTGTGAGTACATTGTCAACCAAGATTGTACAAGAAGAATAATTGGACAACGAATAGTATATTGTACAATCTCCTCAACAACAATATTGGCAGCCAAAGCTTGAGCGGCCATTTCTTCAGAGAAGCCCATACTTTCAAGTTGCTCCATCGAAACATAAACATAAACGGCCTCAAATTTTTCTTTATAATTGCGGATTGTGGCCCTTTTCAACGAATTACCGACTTTTAATTTCTTTTCAAGTAAAAATAAAACAATTTTTTATTGCAAAATGAAAAATAGTAAACCAGTTATTCTCATTTACACTTATTATTATTATTGTGAGGTGGTTCTTCTTCTGGCCCTTTTTCGTGGCATTTTCACTCTTCCTATGTGCTTGTGTGAGAGAACAGTGGCAATGGTTTCGGTGCACGCGCTTTGAAAGTTTGTTGTTGGCAACGGTAGCATCGGACAATGATGGCACATCGATTTGTAATACATAGTAATGTGTTTTTGGTGGTTCTATAACATAGTATTTTACAAGTGTGTGTGACAACAGTGACATAAATAATAATGTAACAATGAATGTTATAAGCGATGACGATGATAACAGTGATGTGACAATTTATAGTATATTGTAGGTTGTGATGCAATAGTGACATTCATCGGTAGTGATGTAATAATAAATGTTGTAAGCAGTGATGACGACGACAATGGGTGGAGCAATGAATGTATTAAGTAGTGGGATCAATGATCGTGTTGACGATGAAAATATGCGACAAAAGTGTGCAACACATTGAGTTACAAGTGATAGCAACATCATTGATAATATGTGTGCAACATAATATCACAAAAAGCAACACAATGTGTTATCAAATTTATTGTTAAAAATATTTTTAAAAAATGTTGTTTGAGAATAAAAAATATTTAAAAATAAGTTTGAAAATAGTAAATGTTTTAATTTAATTGTGAATTGCTCCACTAAAGACAGACGTGTCAAAATGATTGGATCGAACCAGCGACCTTCTCATAAAAACCAGCTGCGACAGTTGCTTACCGAACAGCCGGCCAGTGGTATTGCAATTTTT